TAGAAAATTAATATTTATCTGCCCCTGGCTGTCTGTCATGTAGCCCTTGATGGCTTGCCAAAACTCAGTGGCCCTCCACCCAAAATAATTGCCTGCCCTGGCTGTATATAGAATAAAGCCACGCCAGTAGTTTTGATGATAGAAGGATTGAATAGGACATCTTAAGCGCTAGTAGGAGCCTCTGCAGGTGGGAGGAGTAGCGAAAAACTGGTCACAACATTGGGGCAGTAATATTTTGAACACACACTAATGTTTCATGAGGCAACGATTACTTAGGCTGATATATTTTACTGGACAAACTGCATGGTTGCAATAGAGTTAAGACAAGTTTTTGAATGCAAGAATATGGTGTTTTAATAATCCACACTGAAACCAGCCTGATACCACAGATACCACCTTAGCCTGATACCATCCTATTAGGCAAATGGTTTATCTGAATAAATTCCATGTTTCCCGCTATCTGTATAAAGACTACTGTACTGTATAAATGCCACACACGCACTTTCATAATATATCTAATTATGTAAATATGACTTTTAGTATTTACACAAGAAAACAGTAGCTGGGAAGCAGCTATTTCTTTCTGCTTAGATATTCAAATCATAAGTAACATGATAAACTGCAAACCATACTTAAGGATCTGTCCCAGTATGTCTGCTACTTAACTATTAACTGTTCTCTTAACAGTTCTCCTGGGGTTTTGGGGGTTTTTTTTGTTGATGCTACTAAAAATAAGAGGGCCTACAATACAAAACAAAGGAGATTTCAACACAAGATCTGAACAAAAATTAAAAAACAAAATCCTGCAAAAACAGAACCAAAGCAAAAAATACACCCTTAACTCACCTTTAGCCCAGTAAAGGACAAGGCTTGAACTGGCAGCAACTGGTTGCAGCAAGGACAGAATCTTGCCTATTTTCCAACTACTTTCCTAAGTTCCAACTACTATTTAAAACTAAATGAGAAGATCCCATACATGGGTCATTTCTTTAGAAACAAACAGTTCATTTGGATAGGAGCAGGGTAGTCATTTTTTTCCCCCTTATTTTTCCCTTCATTATTTTTTCTATTATTTAACCACAAATTCAGAATACTGCTTTTTAGTATGATTTTGTGTTGATAAGTAAATATCAGCTACAGGTATATCCATTTAAACATCAGTAAAGGAAGATGAGGTGAAATAAGACCTTTGTCTTGTAATTGCATACAAGAAAACCTCATTAAATGCATTGTCTGTTATTAAACTACAGTCAAAAGTAATTGGTAATGGAAACCAAGTATAAAGTTGATTAAATCCAGCCAATACTGAGCATGAGAATAAAACATATAGCCTACATGGGACAAATATACTGATGGGAACCTACCACAAGAATAGGTTAGTGCAGCCCATCTGAATAAGTTGCATAATAGTGCCCACTGAGCTTAATCTCCCCTTAAGCACTGACTCTTTTTCAAGTCATGGTGGGCTACATTGAATACATCCTCTTCACTCCCACAGCTGAGCTGCACCTTAGTTTCCCACT